GCGTATGTTAGAAACGGCTTCGCCTTCCACGTGGTAACTGCATGATCACTTGCAATAGGATGTCCAAGAAGTTACTGCGCAATGTTACATTTGTTATCCATGTGGTAAATTTTACTACTTATTTTTCAATTAAAATTAATGGCGAATTTGTATGCCGTGGGTAGTTTTCAGTTGCAGTTACAGTTTCGTTATACTGTAGTTTTTTTTTGTTTTTTGTCTTGCTGATGAATGTTTCGAATTCATCTACTGTTGAACCTCAATAACTTGAAGCTCACTTTTACACCTCCCCGTGTAAATTTTTTTTTAAAGTCCCTGTCTGAAGTTCCTTGGAAATAATGCATTGAAATCCTCCCTCTGAAGGCCTTCCCCCTCTCAAACTCAAATTTTTTGACCGATTTTTTTATTTCGAATTTTTTGCTGGTCCCTCGAAGTTTCCTTGAAGATGTTCAAATGTACTGTTTATTCTTTGGAGTCAATTGTTGGTATTTCTTGTCATTGCACGCAGCGAAGTTCGGTTTACTGTGTTACCTGACGAACTGCTTTTATTATACTGTACTCCGTATTGAAGATCAATTTCTTAGCATTTTCCTGATACCACTGTATTTCTTGATTTTTCCCCAAAGCAGTAATTTTGTTCCACTCACGACTTGAAACATATTATTGAAAAGCTGAATATATGAAGCGCAGTAATTTTTCGGACGCCGCGTAGAATTATGGTTTCACTTACGTTCGCATTACTCGCATCCTCGATTTTTATTTTCATGTACTTCGCAGGGTAGTGATCAAGGACTCAGATGCATGGTCCTCTCTGGCCCAAACATGGGAGGAAAAAGTTGTTTTGTCAAACAAGCTGCTCTTACAGCGATAATGGCTCAAATCGGTTCCTTCGTCCCTGGGGATTCGTGCAAAATGACGTTGTTCGAACGAATTTTCGTTCGCGTTGGTGGTGATGCAACGGAAGGAGTTTTCCAAGTTTCTGGAAGGTGCGACATCTGGCTACCCGTGTTTGATCATGT